TATCCTGGTGGGTTCGAAACACCTCTTCAGTACTGCTTCCCCTCCGGATTTTTGGAGAACTGTAATGTACCGTGCAGAGTACTTTTCATTTGCTCCGCTCATTTTAAGAACTCGTATTGTTTCTATCATTTTGTGGAAGTATACCACATGTGCTCTTATACCGTAAAATCTCCATTCCTCTATGCGAGCTCTAGAAACGGTCATCCACATAATAAAAGTTTTCGGAAGGAACCACAAATGGAGCAATGGCCGCTCCTATTGTCAAATAATCAGAGATTAGGTGAATTGGCCAAACAGAAGTGTTCTGGGGACTGATATGAAGTGCTTTGAACAAAAGCAAAAATATTTCAAGAGTCAAGGATTCCAACATGCGACCTCGTGTCTCTGAAGCACTGCGCTTCTCCACTAGGCCATCGCCGCTTGCTGCAAGCAACTATCCTTCTCAACTTGTACAACAGAGCAAAGGTTAAATGGTCCGTAACTCTCTTCAGAGAATCGTTCCGCAAAAAGGAGGGCAGATTTGAATTCAGCGGCTCAAGACACGTCCATATATGTACATCTCATTGCAAATGGCCGGATCGACCTGTTGGGGTTCCCTTGTGAGTGAGTACAAAGTGTAGTCTCCTTTCTGCATGACCATATGGATAATCCTGCGCAGTCTCTACCAAACGGTTATTCCGGATCCACCGTATAGCTCCACATTTGCCCGTCCATTTATCATCCGTTTTGCTCCTTTTCTCATCTTTTGAAGAATACTGCTTGAAGGTTCAGTGCCATGTCACGACCAGTTCACATATGAGTGACGATTTCGGCTATAGAACCTAGATTGCTGCACGAAGAACCTTGGAGGCGTTCTGGGTTTTATCCACATAGCCTGAACTCGATATTAAGGAAGGCTGCGTTGCCATAACCCGTAACCTTGCGCCTTTTCTCGACCTCTGTAGTTTAATCCCCATGGGGTTGAGGAGGCTGAGGTACATGAAGTTGGACTTTCAGCGGTTGTATATAGCAAGTCCCCTGGCTTCTTAGAAGGAGGGAATCTACAAATCGCCCGGGCGTTGACAGTATGTCGGGGATACCGGTGGAGGATACGTCAGTATTTGGAAAATAAACGCAAAAGAATAAATAGTTTGTCTGGAAATATTGAAAAGTCCATGAGTATAGAGGGATAAGATAAGTTTGTGGAATTACCGGGTGGACTGATAAGAGCTACGTCCTCCTACCACCTGTGGGTAGGAGCTGAGTTCATGGCTCTCAGAAAGATAATACTAGCCGACGTCGAACAGGACGTTTCTCATTAGCCTTTGTAGGGGACATGCATGAAGCATGTTCACATGCTTAAGTTTTTGAGCGGATCTACTGGCAATGTTGCTTGACGAATCAGGTTTTTTAGTTGCTCGGGAGTCTCCCTAATAAATCTCCTGTGGAAACATCGCGTGAACTGAGGAGCCCCTGAATAAAGCAGGCATTCTTTAGAAAATAAAAGTCTCCTCTCAAATCTAATTTCTGTTTTGGAAAAAAAATCGTGCTCGTCAAACTATGATCGTTGAAAGCATAAAGGCTCGTATGTTGCTATAGGACTTCCCATCGAAATGTCAGCGAATATATTTTTGAAAGGGAGGGTGTTCAAATTCAGCTTGTCTTGTTTTCAGAACTAGACGTCACGCCCTTGATCACCTTATTTTCCATTGACCGAAGGGTCCATTTGCTAGAAGCTCATGCATGAGCTTCCGAAAAAGGGAGTCTTTTGCGAATTTCAGGCATTTTTATAAGTGCGAACTGGGACATTGAACAGCAGTCATCATAATGACACAAGTTCAAAAAGCATACGGTAATTTGAAAGATTACTCTCAATCATGTCTAAAACCTGATCCCTGTGGAATGATCGATCCACTGGATGCTTTGGTAGTAATTTTCGCTACATTTCATCCTATATAACCTGCTTGTACCAGGAAGGTTTTGATAGCAGCTGAGCCCTCCAATGCCAATTTCAGTCCGGTTTGCTGCAAAATATTCTTGATCAAGTGTCTTTGAGGTGTATTTTCAGGCCACTCGACTCACGGTGTCTTACGAGAAAGCGCAGTCGTCGAGTAGAATGCGTGTGGCGATTCTCATATGGTTGACTCTTCAAAATAGTATTCACACGCTATTGATTCGGTAAATACATACTTGTTTACTAAAGAGTGATTTTTTTTATTCCCCTTACCAGGGAAGTCTGTCAAATTACCATGGAACTTGGAATGGAGACCTGGGTAGATCGGTGGAGTCTAGAAGGTTACTCACAAATATACAGGGGGGGCAAAAAAAGTCACTTCTTCATTGACTTTCGAGGCGCTATAAGTTACACTTTATTAAATTCTGATCGGACATTTTTACCACCATATTAAGAGCATATCAAATACTATCATGACACTCCGCCACAGCCTTCTGGACGAGCGCCATCGAGAGATTCTGGCACGCGACCGCGATGTGGTGCCTGAGATCAGCGAGATAGTCGATTTCTCCGCCACCGTAGACCACCCTATTGAACTCCGCCCGAACCGGGTAATTGAGGGGATTCAGGTCAGGTGACCTACTTGGATACTTCTTTAGGTACTCAGCCCCCTTCCATTCCAAGTAGGCGAGAGTTTCTCCAACGCCCTTCGGTTCCATATATAGTTCGGCACCCAATGCTGGCTTTTTTTCTCTAAGCATTAAGAAGTTCCGAAAGAAGGTACGGACGAAGACATGTGGGGAGGATATTCTTCACAAGTTGCTCAGTGTAACCGCCAGCGCTCACCTTATGTCCGGGGTCCACGAAGAAAATATTGGTCTTTCCATTCCAGATACGTCCGGTCCCATCACATCTCAACCGCGCCTTGTCGTGTAGGCTGCCGGTGGGAAGATGACCACCGTGGCACGTTAGTCGAGTGCTCGATGGGGAGATCATCGAGATCGAGTAGGACGGGTCCCAATATCGAAGGCTCGTACGCCAGAGGGGTCTCGCGACTGGAGATGACTTCATATTTTGGTGTACATGAAGGTGATGGATGAGAGCCAGCTCCTGCTTATCGAGGAACATCTTGGGTATCTTCCGCTCTGCGCTACCTCGTACACCCCTATCTGTGTGGCAGCGAACTTTGCTGAGTATATGACTCGCGAAAAGTGATTTTTGCCCCCCGCTCCCTCTGCGTAACACACAAATGCAGCCCTGTGCAAACCAGAGTATCAGCCATCTCAGTCATTCAGATTAACCACACTTATTAGGGCGGGCCAACTCATCAACCAGATCACGCAGACACACGCGAGCCCGCCCCAACGACCCACGCCACCGCGACGTCACAGTTGGGTATCTCAAATCTTGTTTCATAACTTCTGCTTTTGCTGCTTTTTCCCACAAATACTTTGACTGAAAACGATCGGGCATTGACACATGGCCGACTCCGCCCATCTAAACGGTTTGGCAATCTAGGCTGACTACGCCCACTTGCTTTTCGCTGGACCTTCGATATTTTTCAAAATTTTTGCATTTTAGGGCTGCTGCGTGAAGCCTCACCCACTGTGAGAGGCTCCGCCCACTTTGAAGAAGCCCCGCCCACTTTCAAAAGTGGTGCAAATCGGCAGTTTATAGCCGCATTTGTCTTGCTACTACGGTCTCGTTTCGTCACTCGGAACAAGAAAATCCTGGCATGGTTTATCCGAAAAAAACAAGTGGGCGCGGTCTCAACCTAGGTTGCCAAATCCTTTAGAGAATGGGCGGAGTCGTCCATGTGTCAATGATCGGTCCTTCCCAGTCAAAGTGTTTGTGGGAAACAGCAAAAGCAGAAGTTATGAAACAAGATTTGAGAATCTATAGTACGCGCTGACAAGTGGGCGTGGCTGTTGGGGGGGGGGAGTCGCAGTGATGTCTTGGACGTAATCTGCTTGATGGCTGTTGCCCCCCTAATAATGTTGTCGGTTAACTTCGAGTCGCTGGAAAGTGAGCGAATTTTTTGAATCTTGGTTTGCGAAAAGTGAATTTGGTTTGAAAAACGGGTTGAATTTAAAGTGTAAAATGGTATAGATAGCCCAGAACTGACAACCAACCCTGATTTCACAAGCGAGGAACTTAAATTGAGGAGGTAAATTTTTCGTTATGTACGTGCATCAGCAACGGTGGAGGCGCTTGGTGGTGAGGTGTGAAGCATAGGCGATGAATCGCAAGGTTGAATCGAGTCGTTGAACGTCGATCCTTACCACTGAACCACCACGACTCGATTCGACGTATGCGATTTTCTGTTTGTGCTTCACAGCTCAGCCAGCGTAAGCTCCATCTGCCTGCGCCATTACAAACTTTTTCGCTCATAAGTTGCTTGTGAAACCCAGGCTGCAATATTCGCTATCTATATTTGTAAATAACCTTGTAGACTATCGATCTACCCAAGTCTCCATTTAAACTTCCATGGTAAGTTGGCGGATTTCCCTGGTTAGGAAAGTGCGGCTTAGCTCGAAAAGTGATGAAACGATTATTGGTCACGTTGATAAGCTGCTTTTGGGTATGCACCAGGCATAACGCAGCGGTTTGCGCAAACAGTGTGAGTGCTCATCTTCGCTGTGTCTCGACAGTAAGATATGACGCGCGCGCGACGCATACTGGACGTTTCTGGCCCGTCGCGATCTTAATGATCTCTATGTCCTTACCACACACTTCACCTTCACACAATGAACCTATATTGCGGGAACACAATGTGAGACTTACTGTGCCGGAAATAAAGAGTGCAAGTGTGAAAGCGGAAATTAGTAAATGAGGCTGAGTAACTGTAGGTCTGATCACCTGAAAAACCCGCCCCCCCATTGATGTTCAACATCTGTGATCAATATGGCTCCAAAAAGAACTGATATGCTCATACTCTGTTTCAAGGTACTCTCGTGCTCGAGAGGTTGAACATATGTTCTTATCGACAGTGGCTGTATTTTTCACGGAAGTTATGAAATGTGTTGTTTGTCTTGCTATCATTCTCAAGGAGGAGACACCTTCAAGGTATTTTCGACATTGACATCGCATCATTTTCAAACTGGTTCTTTCTTGAAATGCAACGTTTTCGATGTGGTAACACTAAACAAGTGGGGTCATTAGATCTACGCAAATCGATTTCACAAAGTAGTTTGGTTGAATAGTTGTCAAAGCGTCCATGTGAGACAACCACGAGTGGGTGTTCTTCATTTCCCACTGCGCGCTTCTGGAAATGCCTAACAGGGGGCAAAAAATTTCTGGTTTGAGGCGAACTTGACTTCCCAGATTCAGTTGTTTTCACACATTTTTTGTTTTGGTTTTAGCAAAAGGTTTTGACTTGCATGGGCACAAGAAAATAAAAATTGCACAAGTGCAAAATTTGTTTAGCTAGGGGATCATATCCACAGGATAGAGCATCATGGTGTGTGTGAGGTGGTGGTGTAGATACGACCTCCCCCCCTCTAAATGAGGGTCTCGATACGACCCCCCCCTCGCGCTACCCCAGCAGCTTACCACATAATTGTCCCCCCCCCCCCGCCCGCCATTTTCCAGTTTTTTCCAAAAATTTTTCCTTTGCGGTCGAGCGAGGGGGTATAGTGCACATGAAACAGGAAAAATCACGCAAAAAGTCAACAACCGGAAAACCAACGCGACAAATTTCTCTCAAAGGCACATACGACCCCCCCCCTCTCTCCCAACGACCAAATACGACCCCCCTCCCCAGAGAAGAAATACGACCCCGCTATGTGTTTTACAGAACGATGCTGTACCCTGCCTATCGATCACCCTTTTGTTCACTCTTTATTTGGCTTTTTCTGGCATTTTTGCGGTCCACGGATGAACCTCCTCATCTCAAGCCGCACGATTTAAAAGCCAGAGTCGATGAAAACTTGTAAGCGGGATTATTGGACATCCTATCACGAACATTACGCTCGTTTTTGACGCTGAGCTATTTCACGCCATTTTTCCCACGAAAATCCATGGAAAGTTGTATAGGAAGCTCATTTGCATTCATTTTTGATCGCGGTGCCAACGTAGAGTACACTTGTGAGCTGAGCCCGGCAAGAAAGGAATCGTTCCAGCCTAAACCGAGCACTAAAGCACTTAGCAGAGCGCTAAATCGCGCTGGTATCAAAAAATGAATGTCTTTTCTGTGATATGGATATCTATCAGCCCTATGATGCATGTTTTCATTGGTTTTGGTGAAAAAGGTGCGCGCCGAATCGGCGCCGTTTGGCGTGAGGTGGCGTCAGTAAAAAAACGGATTTCATATTCGTGATGAGGACGTCAAGTAACCCTCTTATACAAGTTTGAATCGATTTGGTGAGGTGTTTGAAGAACGCCAAATTGGCGCTACCGCCAAAAATGATTGCGATAGTCGTGATCAGGGCACTGATTTGGTTTTTTGCCTGTATCTTGATGTATTATTATGTTGAATCCATGAATAAGTATATATTGGAAAATGAGAACCAGTCATCCTGTAGGTTTCTTGGAGTTCTGATGGATCAGGTGGTGCGACAGCCGTACGATACCTTGAAAGTCTGTGTGCCAGCGATGGTATACATTGTACAGAATAATTTGTTCTATATTGCTGCATCACATCTGGATGCTGCAACTTTTATGGTAGGTTTACCTTTTTCGTGCAGTGTACTTTTTTGAGTTGGAACACTTTGAAATATCGCGCCGGTTTCACGGTGTTGAGCACAGGTGAGGGATATCCAGATATCTTAGCTCTCCGTTTTAAGGCCTTTGCAGAAAAGAGATTTGAGTTCTTTGAATTTATATATTTATTGCATGCACCACAGGCACATGAAGCAACTGTAAATAAAAAAAATCTAAAAATCTAACTGACAACAATTCAACCTTGCAAAATTCAGAACTCATTGGGGTGATTGCTGCATAACCAGCTTCAGACTAAGAGCTAATGACCCACATCATATTTCTCAAAAACTAAAAATGCATTAAAAGTGTGGCACGTGGCGATTTTCAACATTGATAGATTCTGATTTGCAAACGGAATTTTTTGATGAACTCCACTCAAGGGGGTGTGATGCTGAAGAACGAAGAGCTGCTATAGGATGAGTATCTCAAAGAGCCGCTATCAGGATGAGAATCCAAGGAGCTGTGGAGGTAAGTACTCCTGGTCATGATCAGACAACCCCCTATAGGGAACAAGCGGCAATAATGATATCTGGGCGGCCTAGTGTCTGTATGGTGTGTAATTTACGGAGTAGTT